ATATTTTTCTCTCTTATTTTCGATTACATATTTTTCAATAAAATAATATTACATGTAACGCCCCCTGGGGCATAGCTCAGTGGTGTAAAGGATAGGAGTGGGGTTATCTCACGCCTTGCTGGCAATTGCAATGTGGGGGTTCGATTCCTGAAACATGGAATTGAACTTCTTGTAGGCTCAGTGTACGTGCAACTCTTGTTCCCTGACCTGTTGAGGTACATCCCGCGATTTACCTCCCTCACAAAGTTCTAGAGGCGGGACAGTGGGGACCCTCAAGATTAGAGTTCAACCTTTTTTAAATAATATTACATGTAAACTTGAAATTCTTCATTATTTTCTTACCATACATTTTTCAAAATATATTACTCCAAAACTCTTTTTTACCCAAAATGGGGGTCAGACAAGGGCTAGATAAACTAGTCAAATTAATGGATTTTGTTGTCCTTTACGTGAAAAGTCCGGCTTTGTTAAGGCCTACACCTGTTATTGTAGTTGACCAATTTGCTCTCTGTTTCAAGCAGTATATTTCTTCATTCCATGTGTCTCGAAATACACATCGTGGTAAAGTTGAGGATCTCTCAAGTAAATGCACGACCAGATGGTTTAAACTAAAGCTATACAAATTACTACCCATAAATGGGTCAATTACTCGCTTCAACCTATGTCTATGGCTCAAAAATTGATACGGTTACGAATTATGAACTAATATAATGGAGACGGAAATCGCGGGAGGACTTTTAAAAATTGTATAAATGTCCTATCTAATGAAATACGAAGGTAACGACCCTATTTACAGATTACAAGCAAATGTAAAAATCAATATCCTATACCATTAAAAAAATGATATAATATCATAAGAATTTGAAATTTTCACAATTCCGCAAGAATGTGAAATAATTCCATATTTTTAATCGATAGAGAGGACAAGCCTTAATTCGTTCGAACTTGTTTATATAAAACCCTTCTTTCCTTTGTCCCGTTTGTAGGCGCGACTAAGCACTTGTGCTTGCCATACTTCTTCACCTAATTATGTCTCCTTCAAACCATTGCTACCTACTTATACTAAGAAATATTCATAAATTTAAAAGTTGTGAAAATTTTGAGACCATAATTTGAATAACAACTTTGGATGACTCACTTAAACAGTTGCACGTTGAAACAAAATTAACTTAAAAGCCACCAAAACTTGTCTTATTTAAGCTGAGCTGTAAATCTAATGTTTTCGTGATAATTGCATATGGTTGGCAACATAAGTATATTAATTTTCTGCAGGAATTATGAACAACTACTTATTTTATTTAATGTATTTTTGTCCTTCATAATTAGTTGTAATTGGAGAATCACTGCACATGGTGGGTCACCCCAATTTTTGACATTTGTTTGTTCAAGGCATCATTGCAACACCTCTTCTATACCCGTTTTAGACTACCACAAGCTTGTTTACTTTATCGAATTCCTTGAAAAACGAGAATTCATAACATAACAATTGATGTTTGTATCGCAAAACTTTTATTTCTTAGTATCGTTCAATCTTGGCTGGTATAAGATTTTAGAAAGTATTAGGCGGTACATTTTTAGTAAATAAAAATACATAAAACTTGAAGGAAAATAAAAGCACGACTAGAAGGAGATTGGAAACATGTGATAGGGAACAATTTCTACTTTTTTAACCAAAGCAAGTACACATTCTGTTACGCCTTTTACAATATAGGCCACAGATACGCCCCACGTAGCAGCCGGTCCCAAGTATGCGATCTAGTTGGCAAGAGCCTAGCGACCAAACCCATGTTGTAGCTCGGACGAACCCACATTGTGGCCGAACCCATGTTACGTCCGAGCCCGCGAGGTGCCTTTCAGACAGAGACGGGGTCAAAGGAAGCTAACAGGAGGACCAGGCAACATATCTTTGTAAACAGATATATTGAAGTGATTGATGTGACAACTCACTGCATAGACGGTTCAACTCAATCAGCAAGTCAAGTCTAGTCTTAAATGTCAAGTTTAGGACTGCAAATGGTCATAACATTAAATGTACTTAAGTCTAAGTCTGACTTATTGATGCCTATGACAAGATGTCTCAGTCGCCAAGATGAGATCACGTATCTCTTCATCCAACGACTCTTACTTATCTTCTAGAATAAAAGCTCACACTTGGTATCATTCCAGAGATAATGCAAGTTTAGACTTAGATATTATAACTTTGCTTTCTACATTATCTATTTTACTCCCAATATCGACCCCTTTATTTTACATTGGAAACTCATGTTAAAAGTCCTCTCACACTTAATATATCTAACTTTTCGAAACTGACTTGATCGTCAAAGTGCATGCAACCTCTCCATATCCGTTGGAGAAGGCCACGTGTGTCTAACGATTTGTCTTAGTGTGCAAAAATACGACTTGTTTGGACATGAGAGGTCTTGAGATCTGTTGGCCACGTTGGAGGGACATTTTTTGAGGTCAACACATTCCAATCTAAGCTAAAGCATTCTTCTTTAGTTGAGTCTTAAGATCCCTGCAATTTCTCTAACTACATTTGAGATCATAGTAGCTTGAACGTTTTCTTTTTCGGTACACTATATTAGCTAGCCAATAAATCTACTTCTCTATGTATGAGTGAAAACGATATATCAGGTTTAAAAAGAAATAGCGAGTAACAATGTTATACTAAAATTTTGCAAATGAAAGGTACCACAAACAAATAATAAAGTGAGCGAGTCGAAGTACCTATCCTATGATGATTAGGTATTTAATCTAATTTCCAATTAAACCTAACTTTGGTTGAATAACAAGATTTGAAGGACGATTTATATTAACAAATTAAAATCTATAACTAATCTAACTACTTGAGAAGGGTGTATAAAAGTCAAATATTTGGCAAACAGTGAGACTTCAAATGCCCTACATTCATCCATGTTGATATAAATCCAAGACTTAAGACAACATTTATTCAGAATTGACGATGAATGTTCCTAATTCGTTTAATAATCTCTCTCGAATAGAGTTAGGCATATCTTCACATATGATTCTTTTAGATCCATTAAATCAAAAGAACTTTCATATGATGATGCAAAATATAGCGATATATTTATATCCCCGTCGAACATTAAAATGATTGTTACTACATGCTATAATTTATATTTCATCTCTAGGATGTCAATAGAAATTACAATTTTTTTTTTCAATAAGTGATCAAGTAATTGAAAATGCATTAAACTCTTATTCATGACCAAATAAACATTCAATTTCAAAATCTAAAATTCAATATCAAACATCAAAATATATGTTTTAACGTTGTCCTAACATCTATACAATTAGCCAAGCATCATATAATTTTAAAAACACGAATCAAATTGATATAATATCACCTAAAATTAAAATTTCGAAAGAAGATGAAAAAAAAAAAAAAAATCTTGACTGCTTGACTCTTTGCAATATCTTCTTGATCCAATCTTCTTGGATCTTCTCCTCTTTCAGACCAAGCAAAATGTATGATTTGGTGAGGAATATGTGTTTTTAATCCAAAACTTTCTCTACATTTAGTGACACTGACTTCTTCTCCGTAAAAAAAAATTGTCTATTTATTTTTCAAAAGCCTCATTTTTTTTTTAATCCTGAATAAAGATATGTATCTATAAACCCTAAAACTAGGTCAAATCTCATGCCATAATTGCTTTCAAAATAGAGGTTGAAAGAAAGAAATAAATAAATAAAAAGGGACAGACCAAAAAGCCCATGCGATTGCACAGTGTGTTTGGCTGCGATCGCATGGCCTTGTTGTTCTAGATGTTGGTGACACATTTCATAGACTTGCACTCGCAAGGTTAGTACTTTTTCTCAATGCAAGTTGATCCCTAAACTTCTTTTAATATCCAGGTTGGGTTCCCTCTTGTTTGAACCATTGACCTTTCATCTTTCAATCTTTACTATATAATCATCATCCTCCACATTCATCCTAAATTGATCCCTTACAAGTTTCAATAATTTATAATTAAGCCCTAAACTTTCTAAATATTGAACTTACCTCCCAAAACCTGTGAATCACATTGCTCTTGTGCAATCCATTTGATCTTTAATTACTTTGAATCAACTCCAATTATGCCCAAAATCGTCTTTCCTCGCACCGTTACACTCAAATGTAAGATTCTCGTATAGCTAACATATTTTATACTAAATTAGATAACTATCCATTCAGTTAACCATAATTTATCATGTTTAGAAGTCCAAGTGTATAAAAACACACTTATCAAGCAATAATATGGTGGAGGTGTTGGTGGTTAATATCTTTTAAGATTGAAGTTTCAAAACATGAGCACATTAAGAACGAGTCTAATCAAGGGTCATGAAAGATCTCACGTTTGAAATTACGTGTAATCTTCTATGAATATTCAATGATCTTTTAAATTTAGGTAATTATTTATAACCTTCTAAACTTGTTAGAGGGGAGAGACCCACCTCACAAAATTGACTTTGAATTGGGGTAGCGGTCAATTATATCAACTGACTTCTCACATCAACTATCAATACATATAATTGTCACATAATGAAATTCATCCTAATTCTCCTTCCATTTAATACAAATATTTAGCATATTATTCACCATTGAAATTTTCCTAGCAAATCATATAATCCGACTTGACTTGAAAAGTGCGATTTAGTTTGGTCATTATGTTGTCACGTAGACTAGTCGGTGATAAATATTTGACCCAATCAAATCCATCTCAACCTCATTTTTTGACTCTGTCCCTAAAATTAGTTATCGGTATTCAATATTGTGGAATGATTTTTTTCTTGTTCGACTTAGATAGTTCTAAAAAAGAAATTTAAAGTAATGTTAATTATCACCGATATTAAGCACTAATTTAGGTGATAATTACGTAATATTATATGATAAATTTCTTTAAATACAAAGTCATGTGACATATTTAATTGGACCTACGTAAAGTAGACACTTTTAACTTGTGCAAAATAGCATTATATTACATAAGTAAATCAAACACGCGGAATCCAATGTAGACTTCACTCTAACGACTCTTAAATAATCCCTTTCAACTTCCTCCTCTCCATAAAACCCCAATTTTTCTTCATTCAATCAGTTCCATCACCAAAATCCCATTCAAATTTAGTCATATGTTAGTGTAAAAAGCATCTATACGAACCCAAAATGTCAAAATCCCCACTCCCTTCTTGTTTCCGACCTGCAACCACGAAAACTATAACCCACCACCACTCCACCACGGCGCTGCCGCCGTCATCCACCAACAATCCTAACCTAATCACCTGTCTTTACAACACTGGTTTAGGCCTGTTTGCCTTAACATGGTCCCGCAATCTCTTCAGCCGGAGCCTCCATCTCCACTTCCTCCTTGACAACAGATCCTCCTCCGCCGCCGCCGTGGAGGAAAATGACAAAGACTTCACTTTTCCTTCCTTACCCACATCTTCCTTTCACCTCCTTATCAAGCCCTTTATTTTCTGGAACAAACAAGGCTCTAAAAGGCTTGATATCAACATCAAATCAGTTAAAAATGCTTACATCTTTTGGGATCTTTCTAGAGCCAAATACGGAGCTGGACCTGAGCCACAGACCGGATTCTACATCGCCATTGTTATAGATGGTGAAATGGTATTACTAGTTGGTGATTTTGCAAAAGAAGCCTATGCAAAAACCAAAGCAAGAAATCCCAACAGAAACCAAACAATGGTGTTAAGAAGAGAGCATGTGTATGGCAACAAGCTTTACACTACAAAAGCCAATTTTGGTGGCAAAGAGAGAAACATCTCCGTGGATTGTAGAATTGGTGACGACCCTAGATTATATATGTCAGTCGATAGCAAAAGGGTTCTGCAGATCAAGCATTTGAAATGGAAATTTAGAGGTAACGAGAGAATTGAAGTTGAGGGAGTGAATGTACTGGTTTCATGGGATGTGTACAACTGGTTGTTCGAAGAAAATCGTGAAGATGGTTATGCATTGTTCACATTCAGATTTGAAGATGATGAAGATTATGGGAATGTGATTTGGTCACAACAGTCATTTGGATTTGGATTTGAGACCAAGAAAATGAAGAAAGGTTTGTTGAGATCGGCAGGAAGTTCATCTTCTTCGTCATTGTCATCAGTTTCTTCTACTTGCAGTTCTGTTATGGAATGGGCAAGTATGGAAGAGAATGAATTGAAGGTTCTTACTGGATTTTCTTTGTTGATTTATGCTTGGAAAAGCTGAAGATTTTTTTCTTTCTTTTTCAATTTTCACTAACCCGTTTGTTCATGAACATAATATCGAAATAAATAAAAAAGATTTATCAGAACTCATAGCATTTGTCAATTCACCTGCCCAGTAAAGGGAAAATTATTTTTTGTTTGTAGTGTTTTTATTGTACCAAAGTTGCAGAAAAATCGATTGATGAAGAAAATACAGAAGATTATTTTTTTTTTTTTTTTTTAATTGATGTACATTGTCTTGTTAATGGAATACCTGAACATGGATTCATCTAAATGGTGTCCTTGAATACAATTTCTTTTTCCATCCATTGCCGTTGGGCAACGGCAGTTTGACTATTGTCGTGTTTATATCATTTTTTCATAGAAAAACGTGACGTTGAATCAATAAAGTGAAAAGTAATATTCGGAAAGTTAAGAAATCATAAAAATAATCAGTAAAATGTGGAAGAAGGTATAATTAGATATTCTGCTTTTTCATGAAAATTTTTCTAAATCCATAATGTGTGCTTCTGCTTTTTCTTGCATTGAGGCTGGCAATGAGTTGTTTGATTATGATTACAGTAGAAACACAATTAATTAATTTGTTTATTTGTGTGGAGATTCCAAATTTTGGGAACAATAGTACAACTGG